AGGAATTTAAAATTAAAAAACTAACATTTTTGTACATAACTATTTATTGAAAATAAGTATATTATAATTAGTTCTATGATGCAGATTAAATGTGTTTGTTGATGGTTGTATGTTGACTTTAAATATATCATATATTTCTAAAATTAATAATGTCAAAAGTGTTAATCTGCAAGTAAAAAACAATTGAAAGAATTTTCAAATATTTTTATGGAATGAATATTCGATAAAATAAGAATTTTACAACTTTTAAAATTATAGACTTATTTTTATCATTAAAGATAGATAAATTTAATTAAAAAAAAAGTTATTGTTTTAAACTCCTATGATAGTAAGAGTTTCTATCTTCTACATATAAATACACACTATTATTATTTATTTAAAAAAATTAACATTAATACTACATTATCATCATTCAATAAAGAATTTTCATTTTTTTAACGAAATCTCATTATTTTTAAGTTAAGAATACCAAAAAATTTAGTGCTATTTTGAAATGCATAAAGTACCATTCACAATATGATAATTCACAAATATATCCTTGCACATAAACATTACCGGATGCATTCATTAATAAACACATAAGAACAGACATACATACACGTGTTTCCCAATAATAAATAAACAAAAGAAAAACAAAACACACACGCACACGCATATATGCATGGATAACATAATCGAAACTAGTTTTACTCTGCCATCAACCTTCATGACATCAGTGTAAAGAAAACCTCGTATTAACCTCATGTTTGGGGAACTTCCCACAAAACTAAACCACAATCCCTACAAAGTAACTGAACCCCATCCATACCCTATATACGCACGTACCTAACTGTCGAAATTATACATCGAACCCTGTTTACAGCTATTCTGTGATGCAAATCGACGACCCAACCTTGTTTTTTTTCCTTGTGAATATTCTCTACTTCTCTCTCTCTCTCTCTCTCTCTCTCTCTCTCCCTCTCTCGTCCTTTCTCTTTTTCTATATATATATCTTTAGCTCTTTTTTAGAAGATGTAGTAGGACAATGGTCGATATGGATAGGAACGTAAACAGAGAATGGATAAACAATATTGCATGGTTACGTACATAGGTTTAGAATGGCTTTGTACTGTTTACTTTGGTCTTGTCCTTTCACATATCATTCATTTGAACTCTTAAGTCTGCTCTACAATTATCATAAGAATGAGTGTGCAGGTGTTCCTCATATACATCCATATGTGCATTTAGAATATTATTGTTGCGCTCCTCGTAAGCGAATTTAAAATAGTCCACGATAAAATGAGTCCCTCCTTTCATGGCGTTTTGCGTGCGAAATGTTTCCACCACAATTTTTATGGGGTGTTTGGTTCTGAAGCGTATATAGTTTATTTTATGTACGTACGACGTAATATGACTTTCAAATAATTGTACAAATGTTTTAAAGTATTTTATAAGTTGATTGGATTTAGAAAAGGAGAAAACAAATTTTTTTTTGGCAGAAACTAAATTTTAAAGTAATTAAAATTATCGTATTATTAATATTATTAAAATATTCTATAATGGTCTATTAATTAAACAAAAAATAAATAAAAATTTATAGAAGATATACAATAACTTTTATAAAAATAAGCTACATCACCAGAACGAGTTTTTTTTTTTTTTTTTTAATAAAATATGAAAATATTCGAACTTTCAATAATAAATAGCTTCTGTTATGTGTTTTATGTATTTGCAGCTTAAGAATATATTAAAAATTACTCTGTAACGATAATCATCGGAAATAATAATTTTAGAAGTTGCAATATGATATATAGTTGCAGTGAAATCGAATTTTAGTTAATTTCGGCTAAGACTTGTATGCAAAAACCACATTCAATGCAATGAGATCACATTATATACACTGATTACTACATACGTAATCTTGTATATACTAAAACAGGGGAATAGGAAAATTAAGGTTAATAATTACAAGAAATAATAAATATTTAATGAATAAAACATTGCAATTTTAACATTATTTAGTAATCGTTATTAACGAAGAATGAGAATCCATTCGAATAACTTCCATCTCAAACAGTCTTTTAACAATTGAAATCAGATTTCCTATCATCTATTAGGCGTGCAATAAATAGAAGCAGAGGCTTTCATCTGGTGGATGTATGCATCATTGCACATCAGCTCAGTTGGAATGAAATTTTTGTAAAATATCGAAATTACGAAAACCTCGTGTATCTACAGATTTATCAATAATGTTTTTATCTAAAAATTATAATTTAATAGAAATGTGTTTTTAGAGTTCTAAAATATATTGTTTATTACTTATTCGGTGCAATTATATTTGTAGCATTTAATTTTTTTATACAAAATTTAAAACATTTTAATTTAAATTTCTAAAAATTTTCAGAATTAAAAATATTCGATAATATTAAGATTTCGTTTTTTTGTGTTAACTATAGTAAAAAAAAATTTTCTATGTTCTTTTCGTTTTCCACATGAAAATTCATTGTATTTTTGATTTATTGATTTTGAACCCTACTTCTCAATTTTAAAGAATTAAATATTACGCATATGTAATAAAATACGTAAAATTTAAATGTAAAATAAAAGTGAATCGATATACTTTAACAAAAAATTAAGTACTTTCCATAGATTTATATGATTATGGTTTATTTCAAATCCGATATAAATATAAAATGGAATTTATGTACGTCGGATGAAGTTTAATTTATATTTATAGATAAACTTTCGATTGGCCCAAATAAAATATTAAATACTATTTATATTATAATTATAATTATAATTATATATGTATATGTGGTTATATTCATGTAATAACTAAAATATTATATTGATATTAATATTGATTCGATAGGTTAAAGAAATTATCCTAGAAGTATAGATTGTAATCAATAAAAATAGCATAAAATGCATGGTAATAGGTTAGCAAAATGTAAAGGTTTATATTAACTGATAGGTTTAAACGTCGACCTCGAAGGACTTTAAGCATTTTCTCTCTCGCACTGTTCTTCTTAATACTTTTGTGGTTTCTTTTACAAACTCTGTGACAAAGAGCGGGAAAAATTTTATAAAAATGTAAGAAAGAAGGAAGGCGTTTGGATGCCAGGAACCCGCAGATACATTTATCGTCAATTTTTTTCTATCATCTTCTTCGTCAATACACGATGTACACAATTGGGAGTAAATCGAGTTTCCACTATTGTTCGGCTAGGTAGTCTCGCGAAGAGGAAAACACGTCACTATTTCATTCTTCGACAAGAACGACGATAATGGAAGCTTTCGAAACAAAGACAAAACAGAGAAAGGATTGGGTAAAATCGCACTTCGATTTACAATCTCTAGTGCTTGGCCACACTATCTATTCTGCAAATAATTCTGATGATTTGTTATGTCGAAATAAGCTTTTATACTTTAATTGTCAAGATATACAAAACATGTTTGTACTATAAATACCATGGTGCTTGTGTTTTGTTAGATGATATCATTGAACACAACACCTGAATTATAAGAGTACGAGGCGATAAAGAAAGGGATTTTTTTCAATTTTCGGTTGTCCGAGTGCTCATAACTATAATTTTAGAACTTTTCAAATTAATTGATGATATTTTTCAAGAAAATTATTCACTTTTCATTTAATTTTGCAATTGTTATATTTATACTATTTACTTATTTAAATTACTTTAAATTAAATAACATATTATAATCCGTTATTACACAATACATAAGCTTAAATTATTTGTCTAACCGGATTAAATGTTATTCTACCTTCATTACGCAAGAAAAATTACACTTAACATGACATCCGAATTACCAAATATTAACTAATCGACTTCCAAGTATCAAACACAACAAATTATGATAAGATCACGCGTAACTTGCTCCCCTTCCGTGTCGCAGTTGCCCTCTTTTATACATTCATTACAATGATGCGAACAGAACTAGGTCGACTGGCATAATGAAAGTCGAATAAGATTATATTATACACTCCTCTTGAATGTTATGAAAAGAGAGAGAGAGAGAGAGAGTATAAATACATCACATTTTTCAGCAAACTGAATCGCCGTTGAACAGGACATCAATATTATGAGGAAATTATAAAGTAACTTAAACATTATCATCATTTGGGTAAGTCTCTAGAAATAGGCTAGATTTAATCAAATATACTTTCAAATAAATTAAGCAATATTTGCTAATTTTATAATTCATACAAATGTGTTACTAAATTTTATTTTAACACATTTTAATCATTTATAGCTATTGGAGCATTTTTAATTATTTCTATATTTCTGTATAATAGATATTGAAATCCTTAGTTCACCACATGTTTATAAATTAGTAAATAATATTATGTGGACTAAAAAAAGTTTAAAGGAAATTTAATAAATAGTAACAACGATATTTTAATCTTGTTAAAATTTATTGAAACTCATCGTTAAAAAATATATGTAAACATAAGGTGTGCACACTTTTATCTCAACATGTAATTTTTATCCTTTCAACTTCTTTTTACCATTTTTTTTTTTTGCCTAAAACTTATGCAAGGTCGCGTTGATAGGCATTGCAAAGAGGCTCGCGTTTTCCACATGAACACCTACACCATGATATGTCGCGATATGTCCACATAATGAGCGGAAGCAGTGAATTATTGAACTACTGAAAATAAAGTAAAAGATCAACAAGAGACTCGGCCGAAACCTCTATTTCATAAATGATCGAAGATAGTATTTTTATTATTTTTTATTTTTTTAAAGATGTACGACGATGGTGATTTATGAAGTCGAATAACAAGTAAGCAAAGTTTTTTTATGGTAATATGGTACTTCATTCCCTTTGTCATCTATCCATAAGATTCGTTGCAGTTACCAATCATCTCTGTGAACTTTTATCTGTCTGTACATTTTAGTAATGTCCGTTGAAAATAGAAATTGATGTTTACGTATCCAGATTAAAATGTCGGTTATGTCTGGATTCAAGTTGCGCCCTGCATGCATTAAATCATTAATTTAATATCCAGAGGTCGTTAGGCTTGAACCGTTGAATACTACTCTTAATTTTGTTGTGGCACTGTCTGGCTTGAATACTCCATGATGACGCAAATAGTAATGCGGCGTGTTTGATGAGACTGGGTTGACCTTGGTCAGGTGTTCGAGTTCGATATATTCATTCATAAAGTTTCCATAATGCTCGTGATAATTATCATCCCTTGATAAACGTTTAAATAAACTGATTAAGCATTGATGTGCCTTGTTGTAAGAATTTCCAAGATTGTTTATTAATAGTTTGATTGGGATCCTAACAGTATACATCCCGGTGGAGTCTCTGGAGTAAGTTGCCTTGTAAAATTCTTCGCACCATAGTTCTTCAAGTGTGTATCGGCAATCTAACGTCTTGGGAACTTCTTCTTGTACCCAGAATTTAGTCAATAGTTCGTGTAAGTCTTCTTCCATCATTTGTGTAGTGGTATGAAATGTCACTGTATTTACGTTGTTGGTTGAGTTAGCAGGTCCAATTATAAGCCATCCAAAAATGGTCAATTGAGCTATTGGCATGGATGGTGCACCCTTGATAATATCTGGCCTTATAATTTTCCCATATACATCTGCTCCTAGCACAATGTCGATTGATCTAGGGATAAAATATTCTGGATCTGCTAGAGTGAGATGTTTCAGATGCGGCCAATCAGGTTTAGTGTTAAATGATGGAAGTGTAGTTGTCAAGGATTCGAGTATGTGAGCATAGACTGTAATTGAAAACGTTGGAGAATGAGTAGATATCAAAGTGAGAGATACATAACCTTTACTGAGGATAGATGTTTTTCCACCAATTTCATAAACTTGAACAACGGAGCGCTTTCGAATCAATTGTAATCTATTAATTACTTCTTCAAGAACAAATGTGGTTTCAGATCCAATATCCACTAACAGTCGAGCCCTTATGGTAGCTGTTGGTGACTGAATCTTTACTATTGCAGTGGCCAGCAGCTTGGTAATCATTGGCTGTCTGACCATTAACTCGTCTAGTCAAGTAAAGGGGTTGTCCTCCTCCTTCTCATTTGAAATTGCCAATTGATTGTTGTGTAGTATGGAGTGGTGTCGTTTATTGCACTTGTTGCAACACATCTTACTCATGCAGAAGCCCTTATGACCTTGTAAACAGTTAATACATATATTGTTATTTCTTACAAATGTCCATCTGTTGTCGATCGATAATTCCTTGAAGTAATTGCAATTAAACAAGCGGTGTTCCTTTTTGCAGTATTGACAAGTTTTGTTAAATGAAGTTTTCTCATTATCTTCCCTTGTGCTGGAGTGGAACGCCTTGACTTTCTGTCTCCCCTTGGTTTTTGATTTACTTTGACGTTTTGTTTCCTTCCCTTCAACTCCACAGGCATTTTCTAACGCTGTTACTTGGGCGGCAAAGTAAGTTCTAAGTTAAGCATAGGAAGGATAAATCTTTGAATTTCCTAATGATCTTTCCCATTCAGTTCGTGTTTGCTCATCTTGTTGCTTTATAACCTGATGTACTCCTAGTGCTTCCCATGGGTTTTGTATTTCAAAGAGATTGAGTCCATCAATGATGTCACCCACATAATTTATCATTTCGTCTAATTCGATGGCTGATCTCTTTCTAGATGGAGTGGTTTTCAGCATTTTTTGTAAATGTGGATTAACTGCTAATCTAGGACTATCAAACTTATCTATTAATTTCTTCCATGCTATGTTGAGGGAAGTATTTTGTAATGATAGTCTAGACACCATTTTAAATGCCGGTCCTTCTAAAGTAGAACGCAAGTAATGAAACTTTTGTACATCACTAAACTTACTGCTTTTTAGTACAAGTGATTCAAATAGGTCCTTGAATGATGGCAAAGCCATGTAATCTCTTGAGAATTTGGGAATGGGAATGTCAGGAAGACGGTTTATTTCTTTTGTTCTTCCTTCTGTTCCCGAGGTCTCCTCTGCCTTGTTTACTGTTTTCGGTGACACATTGAGTTCACGACACAATTTTCTAATCTTACTTTCTGCCTCAATGTGGCACTGGATCTCTTCCCCTTGTGCATTTTGTGTGAAATGATCATGAGTGATAAATGTCGATGGCCACGTTGTTTCAATGTACTGATGTTCCTTATTGAACATTTTATGAATTTCATCAATGGCTTCCTTTATGCATATTATTTCATCAATGTCTGCTTCTAAGTGAGAATCAGCATTGCAACTCTTAAGTTCTTCCTTTATCTCCAAGTGAGATTACAAGTGGTCAGGTCCTATGCAATCTAGTCTTGATGAGATCAATTTAACTGTATATTAATTCACAATCGTAGAAAGAACTTCTTATTAAAACTCAGCTAAACGACTTGTCTCTCCGGTCCTCCTCCGTGAGAGTAAGTCGTGACTTATCCTTCAACTGTGATAAGTATTTGGAAAGAGTAAAGAGTAAGTGTCGGTACGTTACATTTTCTATCTTAAATGCTTCACTGGTCCCATTCCACTAGGGACTCCTTCTTCCTTTAATTAACCAATCAGAGTTCGTTTTAAGACAGCACAATAGATTATGCACGCATTCATCTCCATTTCCTTCCGAGCTCATTTCCGAATATGCCAATCAGAGAAGTGTTGGAAGTGGGGAGTTTTTGCTATTGGTCATCTCTTCTTGATTGCTTCTCCCTTCTCTGGGACTTGACTAGATGAAGGGTCCTTATGGGCGTGATCATTTTCGAACGCGACTGACCAGATGTGACTCAGACAGAAAACAATGCAAGTATTGTCTTAATGGGTGTAAGCGCATGTGCGGCTAGTGCAAATTGTCGCACGTTCGGGATTTTTGGGTTGCAATGAATTTAAGAAATGTTTTGTACTCGATTTTTCATGTATCGAGTGATATTCGTTCGGAATCTACTTAAGGATTTTTCCCGGCAATAAATCCATTAGTTCCACTGCGCTGTAAAGCAAAGGCACATTTCACTGGAGTTTTCCAGATGTTTTATGACACTAGTGCGAAATAATTATGAGCAGAAAAGTTTTGAATCCTAATGTGAATTTTACGATGTTGCTTGCCAGATGTTTTATTGTATTGAAAAAGGTTCTCGCATTCTCAAACAATATTAAACTATCCATATCTTCATATTTCTATATATTTTAATGAAATTAATGAAGTATATTGCAAGAAATATATTCATAAAAATAAATATATCTTCCATTTCTTATTTAACAAATTAGAACGCACTTGAACGCGACAATTTTAATGCAGTTCTAAATAATACAAAATAGTCTTGAAATAGATAACTCCTAAACATTTTTAATAGTACATTGTATAATAAATATGTCATCATAGAGTTGCAACGATTTATTGCGCAAAATCTTCATTGAAAGTGAAAAACTAGTGCGCTCAATAACGCTAATAATAAAATAATCTCGATAGGCCTGTGTCTAATCATAAAAGTCAATTGAAAAAACAAACAAAAAAATGAGTAGCCGTAGCGTAAATATATTCATAACCATGTAAGCTCGTAGCAGTCCTGTTATATCCTCGGTGCTCCACCTTTAAAATGTGAAACGATCTGACGCTTACATTTTTCGAACCCACCGAAAGGGGGCATTGCACTTTTATTATGACTACATTATGACTAAAGGTCAATGTACTTTTGTGAAACACCTGCATATTAAATGATTTTAAAGAAAAAATTGAGTTTTCTATGTTTTTAATTTGTAATAGAGAAAGGAACTATGTTATTTTATTTTTTTCTATGATTGTGGTTAACTAGAATGAATAATGAAGGGAAATCAATTTTTTATGAAATTTTAACGATTTTTCCATGCAACGATAAATTTGATTGAATTACGAATTATAGCTTATGAATATCAAAGCAAAAAAGCTAAATAATAAAACATATTGAATAAATTCTATACTTTATTAATTTGATATTTATTTACATCCCTATAGACATTCTCAAGATCATAAGATGTATAAGATCAACCAAAATCAAGCTCATATATTAATAATTTATTATATGAATCATATAATTATGTAGAATATAATTATTTATAAGTTTTAATTTTATCTGCTTATTAAATAATGTAATAATACTATTTTAAAATATTTTAGAATTTAATATGCATAATTGCCGGAATCCTTTAATAAAATTATTATTAAAGCCGTCGGAATCAAGTTTCTTGCATTGATGGAGAACTACTATTGCTGCTAATGTTTAGTATACCAAAACTAGCTACGTAACAGCCGAAGGACATAAGTTTAAGCAACAATGATCAATACTTTTAGTACCGCAATTTGCAAATGTTTACATATGCATTGTATTATGTGCTACCATATAACTGCAATGCAAGTAGACTGCGGTTTAATTTATATTATTATTTCATATAATTAATTTATATAAATCATAATAAAACTTTACAAATAATAATAATAATAATGATAAATAATAGTAGTATTATGGCTCGATAGCTTTTTCATTTGGCATTCATAAATTAATACTTTTATCGTATGATTCTCAAAATGCCGAAAGCGAGTTTAAGAAAAATTTTTAATTTATACATAATCATAAAATCATAGGGTGAGCAGCTGGCATGCCGCACTCCAACTATTTATTTTAACGATATACTGTATTGATTGCTACATGAGCTCCTCACTTTTAGACTCTTTTAACATATCTAGTAGACGTAAAAAGAAAGTGTCTCTAACGATAAATTTTGCATAGATATTTTCACGAATCTTATTTGTGTCAAATTTGAAAGCTAAACTACGAACGATTGTTCAAACATCTTCCTTGCCAGGTCATTTATTACAATTACTTAACTATGTCTCATAAAGATTACCATATGAGTTTTGTGACAATTTAACCTCGAACCACTTTAGTAACATACATTTTTAATGCCATTTAGTATTATGTAGGTCACTGATTATACAATTTTATTCTATCCAGTGAGTAGTACATCATTTCTTTATATTATTATGTTCAAAACTCTTCATTTCGCTACTTGTATGACATATAATAATATAGACAATAAATTGCTATTATTAATTAAAATATTTGCACACTTCTTTTCTTTTAAAATTTTTTTAGGTTTTCATTACATGTGAAGTAATTCTAATTGAAAGATATATTATTATAAAATATTATATTATTTTAAAGATATTTTTAAATTTCTTTAATAGTATTTTTTATCTATACTTGAGATAATAAATTAAAATTAATCATGAAAAACTGCATTTGTTAAATTATCGTGTAAATATATTATATTTTAAATTCACCAAATTTTCGATGGGCTCATTTTATTGACACATGACAGTACAAATGTGTACATGTATATAAAGCGAAATATGATAAAGTTTGTCGGCGTTAAATAATATTTACGGTTAATGAAAATAAAAAAAATTAATATATAAAATTCTCAATTGACACCCCCTTAAAACAAATTTACAACGATCATTGCATATTAGTGTTTCAAGTAGGCAAACAAAAAAAATTGAGGTGATATAATTGTATATAATGAATATGCATTTCATTTTACAAATAATGAAAAAAATATAAAATTTTAATAGAATGTAGTATGTTTATATAAATATCAGAGATTAAAACAAAACAATTAATAGTGCAAATGGAACTCTCATAGTGTCGATAATTTAAGTGTATGTGTACAGGAAAAAAAAACGACCACAAATATCATGATTACGATAAAAGTAAAAACAAAGTAACACGATGTTATAAATTATAAAACTATAAAGCTTTGTTTAATCTTAACAAATAATTTTAAACTAAATACCTTATTAATTATTCAAATATATGCAAATGTATATGTATATTATCTGTTATTTTATGATATACTATAATAGTCATAGTTATTTTAATAATAACTTTGTCCTTAAAAAATACTTTAACAGATAATCCCTTCTTAAAATTTTAATCCTAAGTTTAAGTCCTTAAAGAAACAAAATGAATATTTTATTATAATTTTAAACTAATTATAATATATAATATAATAAAAATAAATTT